AGACGCTTACTCTCCGCTCGGCGTACGCACGCGTAGAGGGCGCGGAGTTTCGCGACCGGGTTGTGGTCGCCATGGTGGGGCTGGCCGCACGAGGGAAGAGCTACCTATCGAAGGCGGTAGTGCGGTACATCAACCTCATAGGGTGTCCAGCACGCATCTTCACCTCCGAAGAGCACCGCAAAGGGAAGGGCGGAGGGCGGAGGGCGGAGGGGGGAGCGCCTGAGCCACGGAGCTTGCTGGCCGCCTTGGCGACCTCGGGCACCATCTTCTTGCAGTGGCCGCACCAGGGCGCGAAGAAGACAACGAGGGCGGGCGCGGCATCCGCCGAAGAGAGCTGCGCTGCGAAGCCACGGCCGTCGAGCACATCGACGCCCGTCCCTGCGTACTCTGGACTGTGGATGGTCCCAACGCCGCCGCCGCCGCCGCCACCACTAGCAGCAGCAGACGCAGCCCCGCCGGCAGCCGCAGCCCCGCTCGCAGCCGCAGCCGCAGCCGCAGCCCCGCCACTGCCCACCGATGGCTGGGGCGGTGCAGTCGAGCTGCTGCCCTTTGTGCGAACGACCGAGTCGAGGCCGAGCTCCTTGAAGGCGGCGGCAATCTGGTCGAGCGTCTCGCGCGGGCCCTCCATGACTACCGCCTTGCCCTCCGCAGCAACCCTCTGGAGGATTCCTGCGGCGTCATGCTGCGAGGCGCCCAGCTGTAGGAAGACTTGCCCTGCGGCCTGCATCTCTGCCGTGCCACCGCGCAAAAGCTCAAGCTCATGTGGTGCCTCCGCTGCGGCTGCTGCTGGCGGCTCGGCGTTGCCTGCCGCTGCCTGCGCACCGGTCACCTTGGACTCCGCGATGCGCGACTCCTGCGCACCGGCCAGCGACACGAGCAGGAGAAGGACGGCGACGATCATGCTCGTCTTCTCTGGCTCGTCTTCTCTCGCGACCGTGGCACAGGGAGGGCAAATGGAGAAAGCAGCGGCTTTACGTGGTGTACAGTGTCGTGTCTACTAGCTCCGAGTAGAGGGGGCGTTCTGAAGTTAAGGGGAAACCCGGTACACGGAACCAACCCTCGGAGACCCGTGTTTACTTTACGGCCCTTTCCCTGCGAACGCGCACCCCCGGGGCTAGGGCTCTCTAGCCCGTAACCCGACACCGATCATCCGGCCCGCTGGGTGCGCTTCTTAGCTCCCCGGCCCTGGATGTGCGGTTACTGACTGCACTCCAAGTGCTCCAAGGTAGTGCGATGGCGAGAGATATGGTGAGGGGGGGGTCTACTCAAGTGCCTGCGCGAGTGCGTGAGGGTGGTGGTGTGGGGCGTCGTAAGGAAGGCGTAAAAATATTGAATATATTGCTCCAATAGTTAGAGATGCGATCAATATCAATATATATGGCAATAGTTAGAGGAGAGGCTGGGCCTGGGCTGGTCAGGACCGTCAGGTGGGTCCATCCTGGGCTTGAAAGTGGCTCTAAATCGTTAAAAACGGGCCAAAATCGCTTCGAAATCGCTTAAACCGCATTAAAAATCGCCATGAACTCGCGATTTTTTCGATTTCAGCCCACGTCTAGGCAATGTTTGGGACAAATGTCGACATTGGTGCTGTTGGAGGTTAAAATCAGCGATCAATATGTCAATATATTGTCAATAGTTAGAGGGGATGCTGTCAATAATCAATATCAATAGTTAAAGGGGCGAGAATCAATATATTACGCCTTCCTTAGGGGCGTGCAGTGTGGTGTTCATTAGCTCCGAGTAGAGGGGGCGTCCTGCCAGTTAAGGGGAAGGCAACTCGGTCGGTATGTTAACCCTCGGAGACCTGTGTTTACTTTACGGCCTTTCCCTGCGAACGCGCACCCCCCCAGGGCTAGGGCTCTCTAGCCCGTAACCCGATGCCGATCATCCGGCCCGCTGGGTGCGCTTCTTAGATCTAGCTCCCCGGCCCTGGATGTGAGGTTACTAACTGCACTCCAAAGTGCTCCTGGGCCCTCGGGGAGGCCTGCGGGCGGCCTTCTCTCGAGGTCTCGAGATACACAGAGCGGCCAACAAAATCATGGGAGGAAGGAAGGGGCGAGTCGCAATCAATTCAGGGGTCGTGGGTGGGGCTGGACGTATCCTTTGCGTTTTCCCAAAACTGTAACTGTAAAGATAGAGGGAGAGAAAAGGGAAAAGGAACAAGATACCTAAGGGAGAGAAAAGGGAGAGAGAGAGACTACGCGTTCGGTGAAAACAGACGATTAACTATACTCGAGTAACAAACCCAAGTAGACGGGTGACACTGACCGGTCCGACCCGGTGAGAGCTCAGACACACGAGCAAGGGGGGGGACAAGCGTAAAAAGGGACGGAAGCCGAGAGCGCTCGCAAAGAGGACGCGGCGGCGGCCGGCCAATGGCCACATCATCAGCATCACCGCTCGCGCCACCGCCCTCTCCCGCCGGCCCGCCGCCTCTGGCGATCCGCGACGGCGCCGCCCGCGACCGCGACCTCGGCGGCGATCGACTGCAGAATGACACGCCGCCCATGCTGCTCGGTTCGCCGCCGCTGGCTACCCGCGATGGCTCCGCGATGCAGCTCGGCGGAGGACAACTGGAGATGGACGAGATGGATGAGGAGGGAAGAACCCGCCACCACGCGCGGATGTGCGCCGCCCCCCTCCCTCTCCCACCCCAGCT